TAGTGCCGGTGCCCGGTATAGTGCCGCTTTGCTCTCTGACCACATACCGGCACTATAGAGGGCCCCCTACTGTATGACAATTTTTTTGTCATATACCATGGGCAGCGNCAACAACACCGGAATATCAAGTCTTTCTGTACTCTGAATAGTGCCGGTGCCCGGTATAGTGCCGCTTTGCTCTCTGACCACATACCGGCACTATAGAGGGCCCCCTACTGTATGACAATTTTTTTGTCATATACCATGGGCAGCGCCTGTAGATCCTGGATCATCAACAGTGGTCTGCTGCAGCCGCACACTGCGTGTGGGTGTATGGAAAGGTTCATTCCATCTGCTAGCGGTTCGTCTGCTGCCGGCTTGAAGCCATGCGGCGAACCGACGTGCCTCTTTGTCGCTGTGCCTTCCCGACATTTTTGGTCTCTGTGTTTCTGCCGAACCTACATTTTCCTTGTGTCGTTTTACAACCTTCGATATTTCTCAGGTGCGGTAGCGAGATCTTGGGCAAGATATTCACGGGGAGGACAACGCCTAAAAAATAAAACAAAGCAAATAATTAAGCCCATATCAACACCAGTGCACTACCGTCGTGTGCATGTACGATGCGTACGTCGTAGAACACCATCGCTTTCAGCGTTTTGGTGGTACAGTACGGGGAAGTTCAAAGGATGGTATGCAAGTATGTCTTGCAGCACAATAGCAGCAGTGGTTGCGACCTTCAAATCACCTTGTGTCGTAGGTTTCAAACAGCACCCCTTGTGATCGCCTTTCTGCTGCGAATGCGCGCCTTGTGACATATGTTTCGCTTTCATTGCCCCCGGGGATGGCGCGTTAGTGGCCCCGTATTTTTGAAGACACTTCCCCGCGTTGAAGACACTTTTTGGGGGGAAAACGTGGTGTGTTTTTAAAGCGGGGTCGACTGTACTAGTACGTGGTACATACACCCTGTCCTTGTACCCCCATTGTGTCACTGAAATGGTCACTTGCCATCCTTGTATCACATATCACTGCGTTTGGCGATGGTGTGTGTTTCATTGTTAGCATCGACCGCGCAAACCGGCTGACCAATGAAAAGACGTCAGTCTCAGTGCGGTTGAAAACACAAAACACTTTTTATCTAGGCCTGTCCTCCATCGGCCGTTTTTTTGTCTTTTTCGGCCGCTTTTTTTTTTCTCTTTCGGCCGCTTTTTTTCCTTTTTCGGCCGCCCCAATTTTTTTTCGGCCACCCCATTTTTTTTTTCGGCCACCCCAATTTTTCTTTCGGCCACCCCATTTTTTTTTCGGCCACCCCAATGTGTGCCCGTACTAGCCCGTACAGGTACCCTTTTAACACCCTCTCGTGCATCCTATGCTTGTTGCGCAAGATGGATCGGGGCTCGTCCATTTATCGGTGTTCTTTGGAAGTAAATAACTCTGTGGTACGCCTCTCTACGGCTCTCGTTGGACACAAATCTCCTTTCTCTAGTGATCGTGGCGTTCTTGGCAGGTGCCGTCTTGGCGTTGTCAACGACGGTTGCCGCTCCATCACGTGCCCTTTTCGCCGCCGCTCTCTCACGCGCCTTGGTGGAGGACTCCGAAGGTTTTTCCGGCCGAAATTTTCAGAAATCGGCTCCTTCGGCCGCGGCCGATGGAGGACAGGCCTATTTTCATCTGCCATGAACTGGGACCCCGTGAGGGGGCAGCATGGGAGAGGCTAAACTATCCTTCGGATCAAAAACAGAAACAGCAGCAACAGATGAAAACTGCACGTGTCTACCAAGGCTACTACCTTGTACTCGAGTTCGTTTAGGAGTACCTTCACCATTATCCTCCTTGTTTTCGCTACCACCATCATTCTGATCCTCATTTTGGCAAGAATCTCTATCATGTAGAGTACTACACTTTTTGAGTGTATTTTTCGTACAACTACAACCATCCAGGGTCACACAGGAGAGGGTAAAGACCAGGGCTTTTTTTCTTCTTGTGATTTATTGTCATGCCCCACGTTCCTCCTGCGGTGCGTGCTGAATTTAACTTTTTTCGCGAGAAGGGTCCAGCCGTCCCTTTCCCTCGTCAACGGTGCTAACGTCGAAGTTTGGTACTCACGAGAGCTTTTTAGCTATAATTCGCTTTCAGCCGTACATTTCGTATATTTTTCACCCCATGGGGATTCGGACTCACGACCTCTGCGACTAGCGGATTACGAGGATACCCCTAGACCGTGTCCATATGTGCGGAAGATCCACTCCCTCCCCCGCCATACCAATAAAGAGGCCGCCCGCTTTGCTGTAGCCAGCCAGCCTGGCAAACACAGACAGCGGGGTCGGGCAACCCAATTACCCGGGTGGAGATTCAAAGAAAAGGCCGATGGAATTCTGCTGTAGTTGATTGTGTAGATTGTTGGCGATACTTATTTTAGCAGCAGTCTTCACGAGCCAAAAAAATTGGCACTACAAACGTATGGGCTACAATGTGGAAATGTATTGGCAGTCTAGCCAATCACCGACGCCCCAGAAGACCGACGGCACACGGGACTGTATCTGTGCTCGCATGCCTACGTTTGTGTTTTGCTCCAGAAATATGGGTTATTTGAAGAAGCGACAAGACATCAGAAACGCCGAAACCAACATAATATTAAAAACCAAAATCCAACCCATGAGCCAAACCATTGACTTCCTCTCGGACTCACTAGGTATCACTTATCGGGCCAACCCGACGTCTATGCCCAGGTCATATCCCATTGCGCGGTCCGATACTCGGCGCTCTTGTCTACGCTACTTCTCCCCTTCAGCTAGACGGTAGTGCACGCGATACATACTTAGCGCCTTCGCCTCCTGCCCTCACGTACGTCATTAAGGCTCCTGACTTCCACCTCCCCGCCTTCTGAATCTGAACAACCGATGCGCCCTGCTTTGCTAGTTGCGTCGCACCACCTATCCTCCCTGAATGCAGCGCGAAGTGTGTTGGGTCTTCTCCTACTCTTCTCGCCATGTCTCTCAGCACTGTCGTTGCTTCCGACCTCGACACTACTGCCCACCGTCCCTGCTTGACCGACTGCATGAGCGGCGCGCTACTTCCTAACTCTGGGTGCACGTCAAGCAGATTCAGGAAAATCTCTAACGCCCCCATCTTCTCAGCCATCTGTTCCCCTTCCTCGTCCCGCACTACTCTCTCTCTCGTCACTACCGCGCTTCGCCTCTTTTGGTCCGATTTCGACGCGCGAAAGGTCACTTTTACACTGTCTGCCCGCCTTGTTTCGTTCCACGCTAGCCGACACGCTCCTTCGGAGAATACGAGGTTCCCTCTCGTGAGACAAAAATCGGCGTGTACTAAGCCGTTCCGGTGGGCCCATAGCTCAGACGCTCGGCACAGCAAGAGATATGAGAGAGCGATCCCCATCCACGTCCCTGTAGTCCGAAAGCATTCGTCTGCGCTCTTTCTCTCCCAGCAATAATCATCGGCACGGTGAGTGGTTGCCTTACCAACGGTGTCGTCTCTGCCCTCGCATGCAGTCTTTCTACTGCGTTCCCAACAGCTACCACTCTGAAGTGAGACGTGGGCAGCTCCCAGCCTGCGTACTGTTTATGGAAGTACTTGATAGCCGCGAGGTACCCCTTCACCGTTTGGCTCTGGTTCTTGTACACTAAACACCTCGACGCCATGAAGACCGTCAGCTCTCTCACTGCGCTATCCACACCGTCTTCTTCGTACAACCATGGACTCAGATTCGCTTTGGCTCTTTCAGCTGTCCACGTGTCCCACTTGCTGTGGTATCCCTTCAGCATGCTCGCGTTGAGGGAACCGTGCTCCATAATCTTGAGGAGCCTTTCGCCTTCATCGCTCGTTCCCTTTGTCCCGTGTTCGCTTCCTGCGCTTGAACACGTTAGAGTCATCACACCTTGTTTAGTTATTTTGCTGATCATTCCCTCATCACTTATTCTCTTTACACGCTTGCCATGCGGCTCCATACGAGTCCATCCATTCTTTGGTTTGGGAGTTTCTCCTGCAGTATCATTTCATCTAGCCCCCTTCCGTTGTCTCCGACGTCTTGCACTCGCCAGTTGNGACTGCTACGTCCTCTGACTTCCATCTAGATATCCCGTCCGCGAGGGTATTCTCGCGTCCCGGGATGTGTTTCGCCACGTGACACCATCCGTTTTCAATCTCCATACGACCAAGCAGTCTCATGAGCAGCCCCGCTCGCCTATCTCTCGAGCCCCCGCATCTGCTTACCCATGATACCGCCGTCACGTTGTCTCTCCTCATCATGATAGCTTGTCCGGGTTGCGACGGCTTTTCTACCACGACCATTTGGATCACCCAGCATGTAATTGTCATTCCGAGCAATTCTAGCGTGTTGATCGTGATTGCGCTGGTTTCTTTGGCTTCTGCTTTCCTTTTCAGCTCCGCGGTAAACGCGGGTTTAAATCGATACCGCCAGAACACTTTTAGTTCGGAACAGTGTCCGCCTACCGCGTCGAAGCTAGCACCCGATAGGTAGTGACGGAGAGGCGCGCGTTGGACGTGGTTAAAGAAAAACGCGCTAAGTGACTCTCCTTTCTCCGCGAGTTTAACTTCCAGCGCCCATCTCCAGAAGTCTAGGTCTCCGTGGAACTCCCAACCAAGACGTACCTGCCGCTTTTCTCTCGACTGTCTGTTAGTCTTGTCGTGTAGGCCGGTGAGGAGTAAGAGGTGCCATACGGAAATTTTCCCCGCCCTCATGACGTACGTCAGGTTCTAGAGTTTTCCCGCCATACTCAGGACTTCTTGCACACTGGCGAATTCTCTGGTCTGTGGCCAATCGTTCTCTAGCGCGGTCCTTATCGCGTCGATCCTCTCACGTGTTGTCGCGATCGTCATTTTATGGATGTCTATCGTGTGTCCGAGAAAGTCCGCTTTCGTGTTCCAGTCTGTGCTTTTCTTCGGGGCGAGAATGGGCGTTTGGCCCGCCTCTGCTGGCCCGAAGAGTCTCACACAGTCAGACGCGAATGACGCGGAGGCTACCAGCGCTGATGCGTCGTCTGGCGCATGTTGCACTTTCAGTAAAGCGAAATCGTCTACGTACACCCCACACGAGAAATCATCGTGTGGTCCGCCTCCGTCATGCGGTTTCACGTTGGCATCTCGGGGCACTCGGGCGGGTTGTACTNGGCGTTTGGCCCGCCTCTGCTGGCCCGAAGAGTCTCACACAGTCAGACGCGAATGACGCGGAGGCTACCAGCGCTGATGCGTCGTCTGGCGCATGTTGCACTTTCAGTAAAGCGAAATCGTCTACGTACACCCCACACGAGAAATCATCGTGTGGTCCGCCTCCGTCATGCGGTTTCACGTTGGCATCTCGGGGCACTC